TTTTCCACATTCATTGATCACAGTTCCTTTTCTTGAGTGTAGTGAGGTTACACACGAATGGACGGAATGGCAACACAGCAGGTCGTAAGGCTTTTTGCAATTTTTTTTTTATTATTAAACCCTGCAAACGCATAAGCGAAAGCATACTATTAGAGCGGAGCTGGGGGGTGGGGGAGGAGTCCGGATCCGAGGGAATCAGCCGGAAAAATTCGAAATTCTGGGGTGCTTGCCATTAACACCCGGGTGGAAGTCTTGTGCATAAACACAAAACTATTGTAAAATTTGACGTGGTGGGAGAACGACCCGCTATAAAATCAGTATACAAATCAGCTGCGACAGGCTAAAAGAGTAAAAAAATTGCATCGCCTCTAATCGCAGCCCATCATGGACTCCGGCCTGAGCCCATATTTTCCAAAGCTTCCCAAACGGAATGGCACGTACCATTTGATCTTCCATCGCGAATTTGCGATTTTCCCATATAAAGGATAAGTACCCCAGGTCTCCTGAAATGACTGAAAGTGCGTATCCTTCTAGCAGTGATGCACATCTTTAGTTATTATCAGACCAAGATCCTGATCAGACTGATAGTCGCTCCTGAATCCCTTCTAATTCTAATTATTGTAAAGCTCCGATTTAGGCACCTCCCCGTGGTAATCGTGCAGTGACAGCAAAGAAATGTACAAAATAGCGTGATGACTTTTCGTTTGGAGTTAAATCCCAAAATAGGATGTGACACTGTAGAGCTTAGTCACCGGGGAAAGGGGCCGGCACTCCCATAGATAAACAGATTTGCCCGACGCTAAAGTTTCAAAATGATTCCCCTTGATATTATGTCCGGTGGTTTTGACGAGGTCATAGACTGCGAGCAGTCTCTTATTTTTCTCTTGAATCATAGTAGATCGAGAGCATGCGTGAGGGGCGAGCGGCGAAGCCGCGAGGACATAGTTTTTTCCGCTCGCCGAGCGTGGCTCTGAGGAATGAAGGACGACCGCTCGCAGTCTAACGTAGTCAGTAATTTGGTTTCGTTGAATACTGACCTAAGGAAAGTAATAGGACAATTATATCCTTTTTTAGGAACCATGAGTACAGCAGGGTTTGCAAATTTTATTGATGAGTGGAGTCAGTTTGACTTCTGCTTTACAAATTTTGGAGGCATTTTGGAATATTTGGAGTCAAGTATGACACTGAAAAAACCCATTTTCAGACTTTCTAGCCCGTGGTCCTGGCATGTATACACTATCGTGAGAGATACACGAAGTAGCTGTGGCGGTCCGCCGACCTGGAAAGCTCAAATCCACTGGCGGTCATCGAGTAAACTTTGATCGTAATTTACCCGTTTACCCTCTTCCTGTTTTGTCGTGTCTTTAATTTCGATGACATAATTAAGGTTTACAATGTTTACAAATAACGTAAAGAGTATTTGTTACCGAAAATTTTTGGAGTCGAAGTGACTCCCTCCGTAACCTCAGTGGAGTCATCTGAACAATTTTGGCGTAAAATACGCCAAATTTGGCGTATTTGCGAACCCTGAGTACAGACTGTTTGGCTCGTCTCTGTTTCTGTTTTAACTGGCATCATTCAGCCATTGTAGTGGTAGGTGATAATCCCTTGAGGGTAACCCGGCATTTTGGAGCACGTCTTCTAAAGCCATCGACGGAAGAAGAGAAGCAAATTCGGTAGCAGCGATAAAGGTGACGTGCAAATGAGATATATTTTGAGTATCAGCTTGCGATGAGTGAATGATCCCATTTGGTATGTGTAATAAGTTTACAATGTTTATGACCGATGTTTCTGTTTTGTTTTTGATTAAGCTACGATGGTCCAGCAGCAAAAGTCTTTTCGAGGTAGCTTTTTCGAAATGGTTTATTTCCGAGCATTTAAAGAAGCAGTTACTATCACCAGTTAAATAAAAGGTAAATTCATTGAAATTAAACCACGTCAAAGTCAACATCGAGTTTGCCAACGCGTTAAATAAATCAAATGAACATTTTTTTATGCTTGCCTCGGTATCTAAGAAACTGCTTGTGAACTATATTAATGAGAAAGAAGCCCATTAGCCCTTTCTAAATTTTTCGAAATTTAATGGGCTAGTTACGAAGAACTGTGAGAGTTGACTCGTGCTCCTCTTTAAGTCTGAGAATTGGAGAAAGACTCGGTTTGGAATCGAGTCTTTAAGACTCTTTTTAGCTGAATGCAAAGATTTAGAAACAGTGTAGAAAGTCTTGGGTTCGCCGGGTAAAGGCTCAGTGTTCCACAGGCTCGTTAAAGTCTCTTGAACTAGTCATTTGCTATCTCTTTTCCAAGGAAGCCATCTATCTCTTAAAAGCTATATTGTTTTGGGTGACTTGAATGGTTTATATATATATATATATATATATATATATATATATATATATATGGGTCAATAAAGGATTAAAATCAACATATGTAGTCCATTCTCCTTTGTACAAAGTATATATATATATATATAAATATATACACCCGTTTTCAAAAAGGTTTTCATATAGAGAGATATATAGATAGATATATACTTTTGTTTTCTTGCACGTGCGCCCGTGTGCATTTACACTTGTTATTGTCTAACTTGTGAAAAAACTTGGTTCAACAATAATTTTTCTTTTCGTCAGGTTTTCTGTTTTGTTGCAATTTGTCAATTAAAAAAAATAATGCACGAATATTGTCTGCAATTCTCTTGATTTGCATTCTCTTGAAAATTAAAGAATGAGGAATTCGGTCACTTGTAGGTCATATCATTGTTGTCGTTACAGGATAAGGGGAAAAACGCAGATGAAATGAAAAGAAAAAGTGTTTTCGAAACCGCTGAGAAGGAAGATGTGACGGTGGATATCCATATTGGATAAGTGGGAAGGAGCAACAATAGTATAGCAGTTGATTAAAACGGACCAAGACGTTGACTAGGTTCATAGAAGTAGATTTTCTCATAACCATGATGAGCGGGTCATATATATTAATGTCTCACCTTTTTTCGTGTAAAATCGCGGCCTGTAAGACAACGTCT